CTCTCTAGCGAATGAACATTTGATTCCCACTTATTAACAGGAAACCTCCCCTCCTCCATGATGGTTGTAGCTTCGTGCTTAAATTCCTTCAACTCTTCGACACTGTCCCCAGTCTTCATTAAGTTATCTACATACGTGTTCTCCTTAAGTGTCAACAGGGTATCAGTATGGTTCTCCTGTGGTTGGTTATCATAATGGTGTTGTAAGGTGGCTCCGAGAAGAAAGGGGCTCGCTTCTGCGCCAAAGGGTATTCTGGTAAATCTGAATTGCTCTTCCGTTCCGTCTATCAATTCAAATACAAATCGAAAGGCATCTCTGTCCTCTGGTTTCAATCCGACTTGAAGGAATGCCTGTTGAATGTCACCAATTAGCAAATTTGGAGCCATTCGAGCTCTTATCAATATGTCCCACAGCAACGGCTGTAGTGGAGGGCCCTTATACATGCACTCATTAACACTTCGAGCGAGTGCTGGGTTCGGCTTCACGCTGGCATCAAACACCATTCGGACCTTTGTGGTTGTGGCAGAAGATTTTACCACTGGTTTATGTGGCATATAAAACACATGACTTCCGGTCGATTTCCCTGGGATCCTCTCAATGATTCCTTTCTCAAGCTGTTGGGCTACGATGTTCCGGTATTCTGTTTTCAAACCGAGGTCTTGATCGAGTTTCTTTGTGACCGAACGCAGGCGTTTCTTGCTCTGTATCTCATTTGTCTCTGTAAGTTGAGCACCAGGTATCCACGGAACGTTGACTTGGTACCGTCCTTCCTTGTCTCGAACAATGGTCTCGTTGAATTCGGTGTAAACATCCAATTGATCGTCTTCTCCCCGGTCTTCTACACCAAGCACATCAAGACTATACAACATCTGGTAGTCGCTCACATCTCTGCAATACATGCACTCATCGTTAACAATGTCCCCGCCATGTATTATCCAACCAAATGTTGTTCCTTCGACCACTGTGTAGTGTCCTTGTAGTATCAGGTGATCATGTAGTCACGTGATATAGCCTCATGGAGCAGAATGTAAGATGGCGGTTTATTAACAAAGTGTGTTTACAACAATGGCGACAAGGATGAGATTTCATTAGCAAATTACAGTACGATTTACGATAGCTGCAATTCCATCATTTCCGGAATTTGATGTAGAAGACCCATCAAATTTAGCAGTACGATGGGAGAAGTATTTAAAGCGATTCAACAATCTAGTTACAGCGATGAACCTTCGTGATGCAGGTCGCAAAAGAGCCTTGCTACTTCACTATGTTGGTGAACGTGTTAATGATATTTTTGACACACTACCTGACCGAGGAGAAAACAACAACTTTAACGCTGCTTGTGATGCATTGACGGCATATTTTACTCCGAAGAAAAATGTATCCTTTGAAATATTTAAATTTCGTAAATTACAACAAGTCCCAGGCGAAAGCATCGATGAATATCACACACGCTTACAAATTGCGGCAAAATACTGCGAGTTTCACGACCATGACACGGAAATTAAATTACAGATAGAACTTGGGACTTCAAGTAAGAAGCTTCGGCAACATTCGTTTCGCAACCCAAGCCTCACTTTAACAGATTTGATCAGTTATGCTAGGACTCTTGTGGAGACTGAAAAACAAGCATCTGGCATCGCGAATAGTTCATTCAACATGCCCTCGTCAGCAGAGATAAACGCTGTCAACAAAGATAATTCTTCACCAAATGATCAACGTTCACAGAAACCTGAACCAAAACAGAAAGAGCTGCCTAGAACATCAGAACAGGTACCTACTAGAAAATGTTTCAGATGTGGACTTGCCTGGCCCCACAAAGATCAACCATGCCCTGCTGAAGGACAGCAATGCAACAATTGCAAAAAGTACAATCACTTTGCACGTGTTTGCAGGTCGACTCGACGAAAACAACCCAGCAACGAAGTCCGTAAGATTGAACAGGCTCAACAACAAGTAGAAAGTGATGACAGCGATGAATATGTGTACACACTCGAGACACCAGCTGACAAAGAGAACTTTCAGAAGACATTAAGAGTTGGAAATTCAGAGATACCTTTTCAAATTGACACTGGTTCAACTGCCAACATTATTAATGAAACATCCTATAAACATCTTGTTGATGGAAACCCTACAATAACCCTTGCCAAGTCAAAAAAACGCCTTTTTGGTTTTGCTAGCTCTACACCCTTACAAGTCCTAGGACAATTTCAATGTACTCTTGAGTCATCGCATAAAATAACGACTGCAAAAGTGTTTGTAGTGAAAAATGCAACTGGATGTTTACTTAGTGGACATACAGCAATTGAATTAGACCTCATTCATGTTAAAGTGAATGCAGTTACAGCACTCAACTCCAAAGAAATACCAACTCGTCTCACTCCATTGATCCAAGAGTACAGTGATGTCTTCACAGGCATTGGCAAGCTTAAGAATTTCAAGGTTCATTTACACATCGATCCAAGTGTCAAACCTGTAGTGCAGCCCACTCGTCGCATTCCCTTTGCCATTCGGAACAGAGTTGAAGTCGAACTGAAACATTTAGAAGACTCTGACATTATCGAGCCTACTACAGGGCCTACACCATGGGTTAGCCCTATTGTTGTCTTCCCAAAGCCTAACCAGCCTGATAAAATACGCTTGTGTGTTGATATGCGTATATGCCAAATCAAGCAATCCAGAGAGAGCATCACCCACAACCAGTTATCGATGATCTTATAACAGATTTAAATGGAGCAAAATATTTCAGCAAACTTGACCTTTCATCGGCCTATCACCAGCTTGAGCTTGACGAAGACTCTCGCTCTATTACCACATTCACAACCCATAAAGGTTTGTATCGGTACAAACGCCTAAACTTTGGTACTAATAGTGCCAGCGAAATTTTCCAGAATGCTTTGGACAATGTTTTAAATGGAATAGAGGGATGTCGCAACATTAGTGATGATATCATCATATTTGGAAAGACAGAGAAAGATCATGATGCGTCCTTGCAGAAAGTGCTGGAAGTCCTCAAAGCGAACAATCTGAAATTGGGGTTGGCAAAATGCCAATTTGACAAAGAACAACTAGAATTTTTCGGGTATATCTTTTCTGCAGATGGAATTTCTCCAAGCCCCAGTAAGGTTGACGCCGTGAAGGAAACACCAGTTCCCACCAACCCTACAGAGGTTCGATCTTTTCTTGGAATGATCCAGTACTGTGGACGTTTCATCCCAAACCTTGCCACTGTTTCCGCACCTCTACGTATGCTCACACAGAAAGATGTTAAGTGGGATTGGACCAGCATGCATCAAGAGGCATTTGAAACTTTAAAACGACTACTGACTTCGGACACGGTCATGGGGTATTTCGATCCTAGCAAAAACACAGAATTACATGTGGATGCTTCACCAGTTGGCCTCGGTGCCATTCTAACCCAGACAACACCCGGAAAGGATGATACGAAAGTTATGGCTTACGCCAGTCGCTCCCTAACACCAGTTGAAAGCCGGTACTCGCATATAGAAAAAGAAGCATTAGCTATTATATATGGCATTGAACATTTTCGTTTATATCTTTACGGGCACGTTTTTACATTAATAACTGACAACAAACCTCTTGAATTAATCTACAAGAACCTCCAGTCTCGCCCATCCAGCCGTATCGAGCGATGGTGTTTACGTCTGCAAGAGTACTCATTCCATGTTAAATATCGGCCCGGTCCAAAGAATCCTTCAGACTATCTATCTCGTCATCCATGCACTGCCACAAACACCAGAAATTACCTTGAGAATATAGCTGAAGAGCACGTTTGCCTGATTGCTGAAAATGCCATACCTGTTGCTATGGATATTGCTTGTATCAAGGATGCAACCAGACAAGACCCCACTCTTAGTAAAACCATAGAATTCATTCAAACAAATAACTGGACTGCTCTTGAGAAACAAGACAAAATGTCTACAGGAGTTAATATTGATGAATTACATGCCTTGTATAAACTACGAGATGAATTGACTGTGTCATCAGATGCCGATATTCTACTTCGAGGAAACCGAGTTGTCATACCAACTAAACTGAGAGCCCAAGCTGTCAAATTGGCACACGAAGGCCACCAAGGTCTAGTTAAAACTAAATGCTTAATGCGAGAGAAAGTATGGTTTTACCAAATTGATTCATATGTTGAAGAGTGCATTAAAAAGTGCTTACCTTGCCAATCAGTCACTCGACCAAAACCCCCTGCACCACTGAAATTGATTCAGATCCCAAAGCATCCATGGGATACCGTTTATGTAGATTTTCTCGGCCCATTTCCAAGTGGAGAATTACTTCTTGTGGTAATTGATGGTCGAACACGCTTCCCTGAAGTAGAAATTGTTAAGAGTACATCTGCAAGTTCTACCATCCCTCGACTTGATCGGATTTTTTCAACACATGGTTTACCAAAGAAAATTATCACCGACAACGGCCCACCTTTTACAAGCTATGAGATTCAGAAGTTTATGAATGATAATAAGATCCATCATCATAAGATAACACCACTCTGGCCTCAAGGCAATGCAGAGGCTGAGAACTTCATGAAACCTTTGAAGAAATGTATCCAAGCTGCTCATGTTGATCATAAAAACTGGCGCAAAGAAATGTATCAATTCTTATTAAACTACAGATCCACTCCACATTCAACAACTACGGTTCCACCAGCTACTGCTTTGTTTGGACGTTCCATTCGCAATAAGTTACCGTCAGTTACTGAAACACTCCCAGACATGAAGTATATCAACGAAACAATAGATACCGCTGATCAGAATGCCAAGTGTAAACGCAATGAATATGCTGATAAACGCCGACATGCTCGAATACCTCAACTCGCTGTTGGAGATTGTGTTTTAGTGCGGCAAGAGAAACAGAATAAGTTGACACCACATTTTGACCCAAATCCATATACCATAACAGCTGTAAAAGGAACCATGATTACGGCTACGAGAGCTGATCATTGCATAACTCGGAACAGTTCACATTTCAAGTTATTCACGGGAGGTGCTACAAATCAAGGAGAAACAAGTGACAACAAAGTTGAGGGACGAAATGAAAATGCTAGAGAGAGAGAGAGAAATGTAGTTGTTGAAAACAGAGATGAAGGCAGACGACAATATCCACGAAGACAACGGAAAAGACCAGAATTCTTTCATGATGGACAACGATAAGTACAAGACTATAATACTATGTACTTTAATTTAAAGGACTTAAATATAGACATTGATATTTGTTGTGTTATGTTAAACAACCGAACAGTTTCTAGGTTAATATCAACAAACGTTATATTATCTTAAATACCAAGGCGGGGAGAGATGTAGTGTCCTTGTAGTATCAGGTGATCATGTAGTCACGTGATATAGCCTCATGGAGCAGAATGTAAGATGGCGGTTTATTAACAAAGTGTGTTTACAACACACTGGTTCTTCTGGTTTCCCTTTGTAGATCTGCTCGGTTTTCATTCGAGAAAACGTGTTATCCCCAACTATAAGATGTATTGGGTATTTGTGATCCGGCTGCATGTAGAACCGTTTGTCCCTAGTATGCTCAAACTCCCGCTTCAGCTCGTTCATGTCTGGTCGCTTAATGGTAGTAAAGTTAGGCATTTTGGTCCCAGTAATCTCAATTCTCTCTTTCGCGGTTCCATCAAGTGAGGCCATTTCAACATTGAAAATGGGCATGGACTGTCGTTTCGACCCACTCACAGTCACAATATGACGAGTGTCGTGGTGTACAGGAGATAATTTCAGTTTTGCTACGGCATCTTGGGAGATAAAGTTTCTCCCTGACCCTGTGTCTAGATATGCCCACAATGTCACGCCTTGTATGTTCACAGGAATTATGGGTGGTAATGTGGTATCTGAGGGGGTATACCCAGTTAGGATGGGACCTTTCTTCCCGTCACACAGACTTGTATGGTGTTTCCCTTTGCATTTGAAACAACTCCCCCCATGGCAATTATTCGCTCGATGGCCAGATTGACCACAATTATAGCACAGTTTATTGTTCGTGAAGAACTTCCGGCGACTATCTAAATCCTTAATATCTTCACAACTGTCCGAGTAATGCTCACCTTTGCAAAAGACACATTTGGGGCTCTTCGGTTTTCCTCCACTCGCCTTTCCAGCAAACCAGTTCCGTTCTCTTCTCGATGACTGTTCGCTATGCTTCGAATCGTTCGTCGTTTTATTTCTAAGTAACCACTTCTGCAGGTTATCCAGTAAATCCTTCAAGCTCCAGTCCTCCCATTTGTCGTCAGTTCGTACCAGGTCTGGTTTAATATGTGGAAGTTTGTTCAATGTCGTCATCACAAAAGCTTTGAGAGGCCCATCCTCTCCCAAAGTATGCAGAGCATCGAAACTCTTACTCAACCTTTCGTAGAATTCTTGGATTTTCGTATAGTTAGAACCTTTGACTACAGGTAACCCAATAATTTCCTCCATATGTGCATTTACAACTTGTTTGGTCTGTCCGTATTCTGCTTTGAGCCTTTTCCACGCTGCTTCATATCCCTCGGTACTTGGTTTAAGATTTGCCAACCGGTCTCTGACCTTGGGGTTCACCAGTTCAAGCAAATACCCGAATTTCTCTTCATTCGAAATAGGTTTCTTGTCAATTTGGGTCAAGAAAATATTCTCGAAACGAATCCAATCTACAACAGTTCCCTTGAAAGGGGTTATCTTCAATTTTGGCAATTTGGCACTAGTAGACTTTGCTTCCCTTTCTAGCTCCATACGTTTCTCAGTAATTTCCAACTCGGCTTGCAGTTTTTGTTCCCATAATTTTCGTTCACGTTCGTGTCTCTCAACGATTGCTGCCTCCTCTAGTTGTTGTTTAGCTTCCCACTTTCGCCGTTCAGATTCTTCTTGGGTTCGTCGCTCCCTTGACTCTAAAAAGTCAGAAAGTTTCTCCTTGTCCAGCAATAATTCTGCATATTTCGCCTTGATATCCTTTTTCCACTGACGAACAGTTCTAGGTGAAATACCACTGTCGATTTTAAACTCTTCTAGCTGTGAAATAAGCTCCGAAAGTTTGCTCATAATCTTGGATGTTTGTTTAACCGTTGTTTTTATTTCCTCGACGTCATTCGTTCGAATCAATTCGTCTGTCCCTTCCAAATAGTATTCTAGCTTCGCAATTTCCTTTTGTATCGAAGTTTCCGTACGCTCGGTGTCTTCTAAACCCTCTACTTGTTCGTTGCTTTCGTCTCCCATCATGTCCGTTATATTTTTCCACAATAGTATCACTGAATTCGAGATTTAATACTATAAACAAATATTGGCGCCAAAATATCACAAAATATATACGTACTTCGTTGTTGATTTCGCTCGTTTTTCTTCGTAAAAATCCTGGTCACGGCACCAAATGTACCGACCCGTAACTCGGCACACACTCACACTCACACACAAGTAAAAAATGATATAATAAATAAGAACAAAGTAAAATAAAATACAAATTTTCGACTGAACTCTCTCGTCTCAAACGTTTGTTGTTCGTATTCGCTCACATGTTCTCGTGTCCTTTTCCCCTCCCCCCGGTACTGTCAATCATCCCGCCCGCGAATAGGCGGGATACCTAAATTTGGGTCAGTATTATGGGGTTGGTTTTTCCGGATACCCGTAAGGGGTAATACACCTTAAGGCTTTCGTCGGCGCTGAACACGTTGACGTAAATATTGTTGTTTTTCTCGAATTTCTTAATATTATTTAAGGGTGTTGGGAATTCTGTCCCTTCCCAGTTTAGCTCTTTGGGTTGTTCTTTAAGTTCCGTTGTGATTCTTTCCGGACGGATGTCGGTGGGTTTAAGGCACGTGTGATAGCCCACTTGAAACATTCGTCGTCGTCGTTTTTCAAATTAATAATAGCCTTCTTACTTACCATGGATTTGGGTAGAGGTTCGTGTTTTTTACCCCTGAAGTGTTGTAATTCTCCGATGTGGATCTCTAACTGGGTAACTTTGCGTAGTCTCCAGCCACTGCCTCTCCTTTGGTATTCGGAGAATGACTTTAGTATTTTTTCCCTCATTATGCTTTGAGCCTCCTCCATATCGTCCGTACCGATAAGTTTGTGGTTTTTTGACCCGAAGTGAGCGATGGTTGACACTTCTTCCCAGGTTTTTGGGTCGCTTCTTACCATTTCACAAGCCAAGGACATCCTTACGTTTCTGGGTTCCGTTTTAACCTCATCTTTCGTGGTGGTTAGGAAGTAGGATGGATCGTACGCGCCTTTGGGATTGATAACATACTTCTTTACCTTTTTCTTGATGGCATGCTTGGCTAGGATGGGTTTCAGGATTTCCCTCGACCTATCCCAAATTTTACTTAACTTATCACCCAACTTTAGCTGAAGACGGGCAAACTTCTTTTTACCTTTCCACTTGCCCTCTGGAATCCTACGGTTCTCCTCAGCTCGCCTTTCACGAGGCCATGCGTTTCGTCGTAACCGTTGGGATTCCTTCTTCCACTTTTGTGCCTCGGCTTTCCAGTCCGTGACTTCTTTTCGCCGTCTTTTCTCTTCTTTGGTGATATCGCTTTTCCATTTTTTTGTGTCCTTTATCGCCTTTCGTGCATCAGCCTCGGTCTGCTTCCTTCGTCTTTGGAATTGCCTTGCAACAGTCTTAACTTCCTTTCCGATTGCCTTTCTCTTTTCCTTCTTGAGTAATTCGTCGAAGTGGTTTTTAATTTTTTCTTCAATTTTTAGGCCTCTTTCCCGGGCCTTTTTCAAAACGTTAGTTTTCATCCGCTCAATAGATGCGAACTCTCTGTCCGAAATTGGAATACTTGGGTTAGAAGTATTCATTGTTTTATTATATAGTTTATCTAAAAGTTTATCTATAAAGTGATTCTAAGGTTGATTCTGTTTTCCAGACCAATAAGGTTTGAAAAAAACAATGAATACTCCCAAGTCTTC